GCACCTCTGCTGCGAGGAAGGGCTGAGAGAATGGGGATTGCTCAGCCTGGAGAAGAGAAGGCCCAGGAGTGACCTAAATGCAGCCTTGCAGCACCTGAAGGGAGCCTACAGGAAAGATGGAGAGACACCACAGACAAGGGATGGAGGGACAGGACCCAGGGAATGGCTCCCACTGCCAGAAGGCAGGGATGGATGGGATATTGGGAATTGTTCCCTGGCAGGGTGGGCAGCCCTGGCACAGCTGGGGCTGCCCCTGGATCCCTGGCAGTGCCCAAGGCCAGGCTGGACACTGGGGCTGGGAGCAGCCTGGACAGGGGAAGGTGTCCCTGCCATGGCAGGGGTGGGATGGGATGGGCTTTGAGCTCCCTTCCAACTCAAACCACTCTGGGATTCTGTGATAAATAAAATATCTTATTGTAGTGTGGAGAATGAAAGCACAGTGCTTGCATATCAGACTAGAGCTTCCATTTTCACAATTCTCAGCGTGATATTCAAGAGCCTAAAAAACCTAATAAATTTCATATACATCAATACAAGCTTCAATCTCAAAAAAAAAACTGAACCAGAAAGCTTCACCATTTTACCTTTTTGCTGCTGAGAGAGATGCTGCTCTCTTTGGGTTTTACACACACAGAGGTGCCCAGGCTCACAGAAGCTGCCTTGCCTGAGCCAGGACACAGCCTGGGCACACGATGCAGGTGCAGCCAGCCCAGGGGCTCGCAGCACAGCAATGCAGCACCACGGAGGGAGGTCTGACACTGCCAGCCAGGGGGTGTGCCTGAAACAGCAGCACCTGGCAAAACAAACACTTTGGTCCTGGCCAGTTTCTTTAGGCTGTTGCCATTCTGCTTTTGAGTGCACGTAAATATTTTTATTGTGTTAAAAACATGATCATAATCTTATTTTTTTTAAATATAGCAGCATGCAAGCTGCTTCTGACTTAAGAAACACTCATGATGATCAGACCTACTTAAAAATGGCTGAGACCTTCGGCCCCTTTGGGGCTTTATGTCAAATGGAACTGGACAGATTCACATTTCTCCAGCAAAAGATGAATCCCTTATTCCTCTGGCTTTTAATTTTGGGTCTGTCTCTTTCAAGAGCACACAAAATATATTCAAGGAGCTTTGTTTTGCTCTCACAATAATGGCTTTAGATACAACACTTCTCAGGCAATAAGCAAACAAGGGAGGGATTGCCCTTGTGCTGTGTGGGATAAAAACTGAGCTGACAGTGACCAACAAGGCACCACAGTTTGATGGAGCTCCTCAGCTCACACACACACACAGAGTTAATGATAAAACAGCCTGGGGTCTGTGTCAGAGGCACTAACACAAACAGCACCCGGGGCAGCCCCGGGTGTGTGGCAGTGTCACCGGCACCCCCGGCTCTGCCCACGGCTCCAACCTGCCCCTGCCAGCACCTGAACAAATGGAAACACCTGAGCTCCATCCCCATTTCCAGCCAGCGGCACTTGCCCTCGACGTCAGAAGGAATTTTGGATAGCAGAAGGAATTTCTTCAGGGAAAGGGCTGTCGGGTTGGAAGGGCTGCCCTGGGAGGGGGTGGGATCAGCAGCCCTGAGGTGTGCAAGGTTGACAAGGTGGTGGTGGTGAGTCAGAGGCTGCGCTCGATGATCTCAGAGGTTCTTTCCAACCTCAGTGACTGTGTGATCTCCAAACAGAGCGGCCACATGGGAGATGGGCTGCTCCTGCCTGGGGATGTGACCAGAACGCTGCTCCTGTGCTGTGCCATTTGTCACCATAACTGACCTTTCATACGGGTGTGTGCTTTTCACGCTCACAACTTCAAACGGTCGGGAAAATTTCGTGCTACAGAACACAGATCCCTGCGCCAGGCCGCTCCACCTGCCGAGGCCTCCACTGATCCAAAGGAAACGCACAACAAGAATGTAGCTGTTACTTGTTATTTTAACATCCGGTATTTGTTATTTTTCATTTGTTACTTGTTGCAATTGGGTGTAAATTTAACCAACAGATGAGGAAAGGGTGTAACAACAAAGACCTGAAACATGACTGATGCAGAAATTGACTAAACTGGTTCTCCGTGCTTCAGTTATTTCTGTACAAGTCTATACGTACATGCTGATCTCAATTTATTTTTAATCTAACCCAAAAAAGTGTCCGTGAATGGAGCTGCTCTGAATTTGGAAAAGTAACTGAGAGAGCCTAATTCCCAGTCTTGCATCTACCCGATAATCCCCCGACCCCTAAAATCCTGTAGAACACACTCAGGATACCCAAGCTTGGCTCCGGCATCGCTGTTTAGTCAATTACCAAACTTCCACCAGCACGGAAATCGACTCACGGCTACGTCTCCCGGACAGCTCTCCCGCTCCCCCGGAGCCCTGCGGTGTTCCCGGCTCGGGGGGCGCTGGGAGGCGGTGCCGGACCGAGAGCCCCATGCCAAAGGCATTTATTGGGGTGCGGTGCTGCTCAGAGCAGCCGGGACACGGGGCATGTGACGGGACGGGATGGAGCCCCGGCAGCCGCGTGCCTCCCGTTCCCCCGGGGCGCGGGCATCCCAGGGCATCCCGGGGGTTCCGCCGGACCGTGCCGGTCCCTGCGGCTGCAGCCGCGCTCACCTGCCCCGCTCCGTTAGCCCCGCGCTGCGCCGCTCCCGCCCCGCCGCCGGGACTCCGCGGCAGCGGCCCCGCCTGCGCTCCCGGAGAGCCCCGGTGCCCCCGAGCCGCGTCCCGGGCAGGCTGGCAGCCGCTGCCGCCGGTCGGAGGCGGCTGAGGCGGCACGGCAGCGGGGCACGGGCGCCGCTGGGCAAGGCCGCCCGGCCCGGGATGCCCCGTGTCGGTACCGCGGACACCCGCGGCCGCGCGGCGCTCACCGGAGCCGCACGGCCACACACAGGGGGCTTTTCTCACGGGGGCCGCACCAGTTTTATTTGCGGTTCTTATTTCCAATAAAAACGCGGTGGTGTTTAAAGCAAAGCGCGCGGGCAGCGCTCGGTGTACCGACACGAGGGGATGAAGGCCGCCCGCGGTCGCTGCTGCCCGGGACACGGACCGAGCGCTGCCCGCGGCCCTGAGCAGCGGCCCCGGGGCTCCGGTGGCTCCACACGGCAGCCTGGGCGAGCAGGGGTGCCCAGCCGCCACCTCCGGCCTCCTGCAGCTGTTCCCAGCTGTTCCCAGGGCTCCTGTTCTGCCCTGCTGGCCGTGTGTCCCTGTCACCTTTCCGGAGTCGCTGGTGCAGCCTCTGCAATTTGCTGTGGAAGTAAGGAGACTCGTTAATCCCTGAGGAAAGCAGTCTCAGCAGCTGCACACGTCAAAAAGCCGCTGCCTCTGAGAGGGACAGTGGGCAGCACAAGTGCCACCCAGGGCCTGGAGGAGCAGGTAGCAGTGGCTGGCAGTGCAGTGAGGGCAGGGGCTAGAGCTGCACAGCACAGGGCAGTGCCTGGCTGCAGCGGGCAGAGCCCAGAGCTCTGCGGTGAACGGACTCAGCCTCCTAAAACTGTACGGAAAATCGGCCAGAACAGCAGTTCAGTGAGGTGGTGAGGCCCAGCAGGTCCCTGCGGGGGCCAGGGAGCCCTGTCCCCCTTGGCAGGGTCAGGGGCTGGGGGAGCTGCCCGTTCCATCCGTGACACTTCACCCTCCGGGGGCCAAATGCATCTGTGAAATATTCACAATAATACCGATTTAAAATGCCTTTGGGGTAACAGTAAAACTGGATGGCCCTGAAAACTCATTGGCTCAAGACAGACAATGGTGGAGTAATTAAGATGTGAAGTAATTGAAATGTGAATGAATTTACTGATGGCATGGGGGGGACAGTGAGACCACAGATCTGTTGACCAGGAGCCATCTCTGTGTGCACCAGCCACACATGACCCTGGCCAGCTGGTCAAAGGGTTCCAGTGACATCCAGGGCCCGAGTGAGGGTGTGGGATGGCGGTGCCAGCTGGGAATGGGGCGACTGGGAGCTCTGCTTTTCCCATGCCAAGCCTGGGGGCATTAGCCACACCACCAGGAAGGGCAGAGGATGAGGGCTGAGTTCGGGCACGGCTCCACTGAGATTGTCCATCACAGACAGAGCACGTACAGCCAATTAAGGACGGTTTTAATTGCTGCTGGGACTCTGCATTGCATGGGACCTCCTGAGAGGTCTCTGTGGGGGCGGCTGTGCTGGACACCGCGAACGGAAGGGATCTGCAGTGCACGGGGCAGTGTCCCGCGAGAGGAGTCTGAGGAGGGGTGGCCACGCTGTAACCTCTTAAAGAACGGGCTCGTAATTACCCTTGGGGCCTGTGCTTTTTTCTCTTCCCATTTCCGCGGTTCTGTGCACATTTACAAAGAGTTAATTTGCAGTTGGCCCCGGTAACGCGCGGTCTGAGCCGCGGGCTGTGCCGAAGGCTCCTGTTCCGTCCCGCAGCTCCTCCGTGGGGTCACGCTCAAGGCACGGGCACGGCAGGCCGGCCCGGGACCCCTCATGCTGCGCCGGGGCTCCGCCGGTCCCGGGCAGGCCCGGCCTCCCCCGGGAGTTTGGCGGTACCGGTACTCCATCGCACGGCCGCAGCTGCCGCTCCCGGGGCAGGCCCGGCCTCCCCCGGGAGTTCGGCGGTACCGGTACTCCATCGCACGGCCGCAGCTGCCAGTCCCGGGCAGGCCCGGCCTCCGCCGGGAGTTCGGCGGTACCGGGCCCAGCCCGGCGGGACGGCGCGGCCCAGGCCCGCCGTCACCACGGCAACGGGGGCGGGGCCCGGGCCGCTCGCCCCGCCCACGCCACCGTTCGAACGGCCCAATCGCAAGTTCCTCAACCGGGGGCGGGACGCGAGGTCGGGCGGGGGGGGCACGGCACCACCCTTCGCGCGCTGGTTGGCCAACGCTGCCGCCAGCTCCCGCCCCCCCGCGCGGCTATTGGCCGCCGCGCCCGTCGCTCCGCTACGAGACCACCGCCTCCCGCCCGCCCCGGGAGCGCGGGCGCCGCTGGGCCCGGCGGGNNNCACGTGCAGGGGCCGGCGGGCGGGGCGGGGCCGGCGCTCCGCTCCCTCTCGCGCGCCGCTCGGCTCCTTCACAGGGTGACACGTCTGCGGTGAGTGAGTGGCGTTGGCAGCCTGTCAATCCCTCACCGGAGCGGCCATCAAACAACATAAAACACGCGCGGGCACCGGGCGCGGGGCTCATAAATTCCGGCGGGCCGATATTTTTGCACATTGCTTTGCAGAGAGTGTGTAATTAATTTTTTTTACAGTTCTTTCCCCGTTATTTCCGCTCTTTTCTTTGCACAAGTTCAAACTTTTGATTGCTGCTGTCTCACCCCCGTGCACAGACTTGGGATCGTTTGTTATTTGGGGGGGAGGGCGATTAATTTTTTTTTTTTCCCTCTGTGATTGTGTTTTCTTGGCTTTTTTTATGTTGCAATTTGGGGGTGGGGGTGTTCGCTGGTTTGTTGTGGTTTTTGCTGTTTGCACCCTCCCAACTTCTGAAGGATTTGAAAGCGAGTTTTTTTGATTTTGTACTTAATTTTTTTTTTTTTAATTTTGCCTTTTTGCAAAGAAGATTTTTGGACAAGTGGGGAAAGACATAAAAAGCAACAATAAACATAAAAAAGGAAAAAAAAAAAAGCTTTGGAGGAAGATTGTACCAGGAAAACCTCACAGAAATCTGCTCAGCTCATTTATCCGAGGCACCAATATGATGATGATGAAAGAAGATTGTAACTAAAGAAGAGAGTGATTTACTGCCCTGGGAAGGAGAAGAGAGTGGAATAAACAGCTGAGATCCGGTCAAAACACAAATACTACATTTTTTTTTTTGTTGTTGTTACTGTTTTGTTTGGCTTTTTTTTTTTTTTTTTCCTCCTTTTTCCCTTTTTCCGTGGTGTGTGTGCAGAGCGCGGTCAGGAGCGCGGCACTGGGACTGAGCGGGGCAGGCGCTGCCGTGACCGCCCGGAGCGCGGCCCGGCCCGGAGCCATGGACGATCAGTCCAGGATGCTGCAGACTCTGGCCGGCGTCAACCTGGCCGGGCACTCGGTGCAGGGGGGCATGGCCCTGCCGCCTCCCCACGGACACGAAGGGGCTGACGGCGACGGCAGGAAGCAGGACATCGGCGACATCCTCCATCAGATCATGACCATCACTGACCAAAGCCTGGATGAGGCACAAGCAAAGTTGGTTTCGTCTAATTAAACCTTGTCTTTTAAAAAAATTATTATTAATATTATTATTTTTTTTTTAAATTATTTTTGGTGTGTGTGTGTGGTTTTTGTTTCTCTCCTTCCTGCTCCTCTGCAGGAGTCTCACAATTAAGAGCAACTTCTTGGGGGCCGTAAGAGAAATTACCAGCAGCCAAGGCAGAGCCAAGTTGCTATTTAATGATTTCTTTCCTTAAAAAAAAAATAGATATGATAAATGTAGAAGTATGCGATGGTTCTGCCGTCAGTGTGGTGCGCGGGAGGCTGTGGCTGGTCCCTGCCCGCTGCCGCTGGACGCTGTCCGGTGGATTCCGGCCTTTGCGCCGCCGTCCATCCGTCCGTCTGTCCGGCCATCCCTCAAAGTACAACTTTGCCTCTTTCTTTCTTTTCTTGTCTCAAAGTGGCAGCAGATGAATTATAAATCTGACCAAATATTGCTGCAGGAGAGGGTGTGTGTGTGTGAATAAAACCCAAACCAAACGCTGGCTGTGTTAAATCACAATAAATACAAAAACAATGTTAACCCCGTACCCCCCCCCCCCCCCCTCCCCAATCTCCTTAATAAATCAGTTCTAATATCGCAGGACGGGGACGAGGGGGGTGGTTTTTCCCCCTCGTTCGGGCGGTGTTTGCACAAAGATAATTCCGCATGAAAGCGAAGCGGGATGAGGGAGGTTCCGGCCGGCCCTCGCTGCCCGCGGCCCCGGGACCCCCGGCCGGGGGGCGAGCGGCCGCAGCGCGGGGCTGGGGAAGGCGCCATGTTGCTGGAGCCCGGCGCTAACCGCTTGTCCTGTGCTCTCTTGCAGGAAACACGCCCTGAACTGCCACAGGATGAAACCCGCCCTGTTCAGCGTCCTCTGCGAGATCAAGGAGAAAACAGGTACGGGCCGCCCGCGCCGCCGCCGCCGCCGCCGCCCGCGGGGCCGGGGGCACCCGGCGGCTCGTGAGGCGGCGGCAGCGCCGTGAAATGGCGCGGGGGTCCCCCCTCACGGCCCCGGAGCGCCCGCGCGGCCGCGTTACCGTCAGGCGGTGTGTGAAAGACATCCCGGGGCCGTGTGACCGCGGGCTTTAACCCCGGGACCGGACCGTGAGCTCTGTGAGGGGCGGGCGCGCCGGGCCGAAGCCGAGGCGGCCCCGCCGTGGGCGCCCCGACCCCGCTCCTGTGCCCGGCGCTGCTCCGGCGCCTCCCGGGCGCTGGGTTTTTAAACGCCAGAATTATCAAAAATCATCTCGGAAGTGCGGGTTTTTCTGGTCTGCATTAACGCGACAGGAATAAACTCCGTGCTTTTTCTTATGTGGGCATTTTAAGAGATTTTTTTTTTTTGCAATTTTTTCACATCACTGAATTTGTAGAATTTTTTGTTTGTTTGAAGAAGAAAATTGACAAAGTATTCTGCTTTGTGTTACGAGAACCAGGACATTTAGTGAAAATAATATTTAATGAGAATAAGAGCGTTTGACAATAGTAGGAACATTTAGCAATAACAAAAACATTTATTACGACTGAATTTAGAAATGAACAGCCAATTATTCACATATAGCTTAAGCCATTGCCTGGCTTTTCAGCTCTATGTGATACTCAATAACGTTCTGCTTAATTCCACGCTGAAAAAATAAACCTGGACGGAAACAACCCAACGTGAAATCATTGCAAATCTGAGCTGTGGAGCCCGGAGTGAGCGGTTCTCTGTGAATTATGGTGCTTTATGTCCAAGGGTTTCTTTGCTACCGGGGATCCACTTCAGTTCCTGCTGACAGCTAAGCACTAGGGTATTGACTGTGTTGTGAATATTAAGATTGATTCTGCTTTATGTTGCATTATATTACCCGGGATAAGGGGAATGATCCCTCTCCCTTCCCACCTACCTACGTTCCACCTCGGCCGGCTCGTCACCCCTTTCCTTCGGCTTGTGTTTGTTTCCTGCCTTTCCCTAAACTTCTCTGCCCGTCCTGCTCCGGAGGCAGAGAGCAACCTGCCCTCGGTGTTCAGACATTTGCAGGAGGCACATTTCAATGAAGGAGGCAGGCGTAGGTCCCGCGGTCACTTTATTTGCAGAGGGCTTAGCCTCAGTGTTTTGAAAGGCAAGTGTAGTCAGCCGCATGTCAGAGGTGAGCTGCGAAGAAAACCCGAGTCCTTTCAGCAGCGGGATTACTGGCACAGGGTGTTTGTGAGGCCGCCGCCGTCTCGCAGGCGAGGGGGAACCTGGCAAGAGACTCTGGTCTGAAACCTTTCGGGGTGTTTCAGTGATAACTTGTAAGCTGGGGTCCTGCATTTGTGCTGCAAGAAGTGGAGGAAGTTTTCAAGTTGCCTCTCTTTTGTGAGATCGCTGGGAACCAACAAAGAGTGAAGGCGTCTGCCTGCCCAGAGGCGAGCTCCTGCCAGCCCCGCAGCACGGGAGGGACACGATTAATGCTCTGAGTGATTGATGGAGATGGATCCACACCTCCACCAAAAACTCTTCCTGGAAGGGGACCTTCACTCAGGGCCTCCCAGTCGAGGTGAAATGTCTGTGCAGGCTTTACTTAGTGTGCTAAAGCAAAGAAAACGTGAAAATAAATGGTAGCCTGTTTTCCGGAGGCTGTTCTCGGAGGGAACGGCTCAAACAATTCTACACTGGAAGCTCGAGGAAGGGTCTGAGATGCAGTTAAAGCAGAGGTGTCCCCCTGTCTGCCTAGGGCTCTGCATTGTCTTGTGGTCCGACAGTTGCCAGGTGCTTAAAGCTGCCTCCGGTGGGGTCATGTGCTGGCCTTTAATTCTTCCTGATCAAACCAAAGTTTACCTGGGTGTGGGAATTGCCGTGATGGCTTCATCACTGTCTTCCTCCAGAGGTGAGGAGGTCATGTCTGTTCAGAAAACAAGTCATGCCATATTCAAATATTTTTTATATTGAATTATGCATTTATTTACATTTTAGTAGTTTTCAGTACAGTCAGCGAGGACTTTGTGAGGCTGGATGGGAGAGAGCACGAGGAGGAATCCTCAGTTTGCATGGAGACACTCTGTCACTTCCCAGCAAGGGTTAATGGATGCATCTCATTTCTGAGAGCCTCACGCAGGGTCAGGAGCTGAAGATTTTTATTTTTTCTCCCTGTGAGGTATTTACCATGTACAAAGCAAATCATTTGAGTTACTGAATTTAGCCTGACATTTCTTTTTTAACATTTTAACATTTTCAAAAGTGCTGCATAATACATTTAAGTGCTTTACAGCTATTAATAGCAGTGTGTATTCTGAGAGGCAACCACAAGGTAGCACGGTGTTCATAAAGAAACTGCCACCTCTGGCTTTAATTAGTTCAAAGAAAAATTATACCAGAGTTTTACTGAAGCCCCTCCAATAAATAGGAAATGAGCCTTGGCTCCCTTTGGTTGTGCTTTGCTGCTCTCTGAGGTGGCACTGGACACACGCTCACATCTGTTGCATACCTGTGTCACACTCCGTTTCCTCACGTCCTGCCACAAGGAATCAAAAACTGATTTGCACCATTGTTTGGGTTTTTTTTTAATAGCTCTTTTTTACTGCCGAAAACACCTTCAGACTGGTGATTTTATTAAGCTTCTTCCAGGGTGTTGCTCAACCTGGGATCCTGGTTATTCTTATGGAGAAAGAAGTGAAAATATATTAATTCTTGTAGTCTTAAATGTCTTTGGGAGTTGCAATTATTTCCCAATGGAGCAACATATTATTAGGTCCTGGAGTACACTGATAGAGAATTTGGTTTTTTGTCTTTAAAAGTCATTTGTAGAGACAGGATCACACGTTTATAAAAATGTCTGCATTCACGTGCAGAACGGTGCACACATCCACAGGTATTTATTTATTTATTTATTATTTATTTATTTATTTATTTATTTCCCCAAGTCCAGCAGCAACAATGACAGCTGCCAACCAACCCCGAATTTACTGTCACCACCACCCCTAAATAGCATTCATTTCCCAGTAAAGCCTAATGGCATACATGATGGTTTGCCAGATTTGTGGCCTTTGTGAGGCTTATAAGCAGGACTGACTTGGGAAGATCATAAAACTTAATGAACTTCTCGACTGCAGGAGGTGTCCGCAGGGGAAGCGAAAGGCCTGCTCGGCTGCTCGGGCTGCTGCAACTATTTTTTATGTCTAAAGAGAGAGGATGAAAATATTCATTAAGGACGTTGCATAGATTTTGGTGTCAAAGAATGAATAAAAAAGCTCTGAAAAGCAGACAAACCGCGTGCTAGCCACGCCACGGGGTTAATTCCTCTCTGTTCCCGTGTAAGTTACCTTTATTTTTATTGCTAGAAGCGCAGAGAGCCGCGCTCTGCCGTGCCTGCGATGGAGGGGCTGCCTCGCCGCCAGGCTCGGTGCTGGTGAGCGTGTCGGGGCGCAGGAACGCCCCTTGTCACCGCGCCGGGAGCCGCGGCCGCGCCGCGGGGCTGCCTGCCCGGCCCGCGGTAACCCCCGCGGGAAGGCCGGGGCAGAGCTCCGGGGCTGCCTGCCCGGCCCGCGGTAACCCCCGCGGGAAGGCCGGGGCAGAGCTCCGGGGCTGCCTGCCCGGCCCGCGGTAACCCCCGCGGGAAGGCCGGGGCAGAGCTCCGGGGCTGCCTGCCCGGCCCGCGGTAACCCCCGCGGGAAGGCCGGGGCAGAGCTCCGGGGCTGCCTGCCCGGCCCGCGGTAACCCCCGCGGGAAGGCCGGGGCAGAGCTCCGGGGCTGCCTGCCCGGCCGGGGCGCGTTAACCCCCGCGGGAAGGCCGCGGCCGCGCTCTGCCCCCGCGCACACTGCAACTTTTCGGCCAGGCTTTGGTGCGAACAACTCTCGGTCATCCGCTGCGACCCTCGGTCCTGGCGGAACGCAGGATTCGGGCGGAACAATGAAATGGCACTGATAGCATACATATACGTGCGTGTGGGTGGGAGTGTGTGTGTGTATTTTGGCTATTTTCTAAACATCAGCTGGGGTGTTATTGTTACTTACTTTAGCTCTTTAAAATATTTATGTGCAGTCCTGTTTTGTTTTTTTTCTTTTTTTCCCCCCAAGCTGCTAAATACATATTCTGTTGTTCCCTGACTACCTGAAGAAGTCAGTGCTGGGTGTTCATGTTCACCCAGCTCAGCTTGAACCCTTTAGCTTTTGCTTCCATCTCATGCTTCAGTACCAAGGTTTGTCACTGACCCAGTTGTACTTTTGAATGTATTTTTTTAATTGCCAGCAGATGTATTACAAATGATGGCGTGCAGCAGAACGTTTGGTCGTTTGCACTGTCCTTATGGCAATGACATTGCTTTTCTTCATAAATGTCCTACTAGGAAAAAATAAATTGGATAAAGTGTCTTGGTTGTCATTTGGTCATCTGTTTCCAACACATTCATTATCAGCAGCCTGGTTGTTTGGTGCATTTCTACCAGAGCACTTCTCTAGTTGAGAAAATGGCGATTTGGTGATTATGGGCATTAGAGAAATTTGTGGTATTTTGTCTCACAGAATCTGAGACTGCACCTTGCCATCAGCACTCCCCATTGCTGGTGCTCCTTGTTGTGTTTAAATATCCATCTTCACCTTGAGTACTGGGATTAGTGGTTCCAGAGATTTTTTTTTTTTCCCCCTCTGTAGAAGATAAATTTGACCCTACTTGTCAATATTAATTTAGCCAGGAGCAGGGATTTATTTTATTTATTTTATTTTATAGCTGTCTTTCATGTCCTTCCATTTATTTTTGAATTTGACACATTTTCTTGTTTATCTGAAAATACCAAATTATAGCTGTTACCGTGTGGTGTATTTTGGGATGCTTGTTGTAAGTTAAGGAATTTTTGCATTCAGAGATAAATTATTATCATGGCATGTAGGGAATGCAAAGCAGTCTTTTTTTTTTTTTTTTTCAGGATTTAACACATTTATCAAG